TAAAGCATAAAAGCATAAAGCATTTGCCGTTGATCAATCCCTTTTTGGAATGCGGCACGCATTCTACTTCCATTTGTACATTCGTAGTGGCGTTTGAATGCGATGTGGCCTATACAATGACGGGGCCAGCCGATGTACAAGTCAGTGTTTTTATCCTCCCAGACAAGTCTGGTACCAATTAACCGACCCCGGAGGGATGGAAGGCTTGGTTGGCCCGGGCGACTCACGACCCAGGATTTGATCCCGGACCGCTCGCGTGGTAAGCGCGCCACTTGCCACTACACCACTTCCGCCCCGCCCCCGATAAATATAGAAATTGCTGCTTGCTTTGTCAATATTTAATTTGTAATACAAATTTAATGTGAGAACTCGTCATACCGGAAGCGAAAGAGTCAGGAACGCTATAAGATCGTTTTAATGTACGAAAAATACCAAAAAATGGTAATTGCACTATCTTCTGAAAGAACATCTTATTGCAGAGCGTCACTTGGTCAAGAAGAGTTAGTCGAATTAAGAGCACAAAGATGACGACCCATCTAGAGCAGGTTTCAAGCGTTTTCTTGTTGATACTCCATTGTTTGATGATGAGCCGTTACCGTAAGTTTTGCTTCTGAGTGAAGAGTATTTAATTGCTCGTTTACTATTACCACTACCATGTTGATACTCATTTTAGATCCCCTGAAGGACTGACCACCGGGTCCTACCACCAATGGTACATACTTGATGATAAGCTCATAGCTGTCGGAGTAGTAGATATTCTACCGAGATGTGTCTCTTCGAAATATCTCTACTACGATCCTGATTACTCTTTTCTTAGTCTTGGAACCTACACTGCTTTGAGGTTTGCTCTAGAAGTGATTGTGTGGTTCAGTTTTGTTGTTGTATGCTCTTTTACTGTACATGGTAGTGGTGTTAATGCTAATTTTTTCAATAGAAAGCGTGAAACAACGATTCTATTTCAGGGAAATAGCCTTCACTCGTTTTGTGATGCAGCACCGACCGGAAACCAAATATTATTATATGGGTTATTACATTAGCACTTGTCCGAAAATGCGCTATAAAGGATCATTCCGACCGAGCGAATTGCTGTGCGATCGGACTTTTCAATGGGTTTGTTTCTATGCACGTTCTTTTTTTGCGCCAGGAGTGCACTTTATGTCAGCTTAATACGAGATAGAGAACGTTTATGTAGTTGATTAATGGCCAGGCCAGTAGCCAGCCCTACTGTAGAACCCTGATGGGCCCCAATGTTCCCCCAACAGTCAGCATAGCGACACAGGTACCCAATCCCTCCTCAACCTTGAGGATACGGCGCAGTATTGCTTGGATACGAGCACAGACTGCTCATTTTCGTATCATCAAAGATTATGCATTGGTGAAAACAGCGCAGTCATTCTGGCAAATTTGGTAGGCATTTGGAAAAAATAATGAATTTTTACTTATTACTAAACATAATATATTTTTAGAAGACGTCAATCTTCCCATATTGCAGGTGCCTCTGGATGTTTGTGATCGGATGTTGCAGGATAATGACAATAAATTCACCGTGTTCTTACCGAATTTACCGCCAGCTGTGATGCAAACACGGGATCAACTGATCTTGTTAATTGATGGAAAAGTAAGTGTGAGCAGCGCTTCTGATTTTTCTGATTTGAAACCTAATGCATTGAGTATGCCGGGAATAATCCTTCAAAGAACAAAGTTCATTGAATTCTTTCATGCACCTGTGTCGTAGTTCGGATGCGGTTGCCCCTATCCCTTTAACACGACACATCAATATGGTTTGGAGTCTCCATGGCCTCTTCATGGGCTTATGTCGTTCCAAGGGTCCATTTCGAGAATCATGTCGTTGCCCTGTACGGGTGCACACCTAAGCTAATCCTGGACACATTACAATACTTTAGAACGGACTGACAATTTATTAGCAATCACCTTCTTGCCACATTCTTCTGCCGGGCTTGGAGAAAGGACAGCGCTCGATTCGTAGTCCTGCGATACCGAAAGGTGAGAAGGATGGCACTCAGCCGGCTGCCCCGAAGCTGCAGGCAGCCGATAGCGTCCATCGGGTAGACTGGATGCTAACATAGCAGCTCTCAAACAGGCAGCACTAAGCCATACTATAATAACTCTCGGAGCAAAGCGCGCCGACTGACGGAGGCGACTCCTATAAGTACCCTGGGGTGGGGATGAGGCCGGAGGTGGAACGTGCGCTGTCTGTTGGCTTGACGCCGCGATCGCGAGTGTATATGCGCCAGAGCCATAAATACAGTGCGCCAGACGGCTTTCGGCGAAAACCGCCAAAACCTGCCACTTGTAGCGGACTTGAGTATAACCCGTAGGAAATGAATCCCGTAGGAAGGTTCCAATTAGGATTGGGAACAGTATGTGATTGTTTTCTTAGTCACGGTTTATACACTGGAATACCACGTACCGAACAAGTAGGAACTTTACTCTTCACTTTATTTTTTTATTGAGACGCAGGTCAGCTTTTACATTAATCCTGAAGGATTTCTGCGAAATGTTGCAGTTTTGTTTAGAACAGAAAAGTTTAACGGCACCTGAATGGCTGGCTTGAAATTTCCATCAGTAATGGGTTTTCAGTGATCACTTTGGCAGTTTTTCGCTTTCTCCTTCGCATTACACTAAAATTCCAAACTTTCTTGCTATTGTGATTGCTACCTTTCGCAAAAGAGTATGCTGCAAATGTCTTTGCCACTAGAACTTTGATGGTATGTAGGATTTTCCTTGCAAGACATTTCAAGCTGTTCAGTGCTTGTTTGAGTTCGTCCTTATGCCAACTAGTTTTATCAATTTGTGGGATTGTTTCACTACTTGTAAAACTGCTGTTTTATAGGTTGATTCTTGCTGTATGCTGACATCGAGCCGAAATGATGCCATCTCTTCATGAATTAGCCAATTCAGAAGCAGTACGGAATAAATTGGATGCTTTCGCTAGTCGCATAGGATGTGATATGACCAAGCTTGTCATCTACCTGTCGGATTTGCAGGGTATCGACATGGAGTAGGTGTCAACCAAATGGTTTCCTATTTTTATATCTGTTATCAAACAAAATTGGGCAAGAGCATGGAAAATTGGTGCCAAAAAGTTTCGCGGTAATTTATATATGTTTCGGCAATCGGATATTGTGTTTGTTCTGCATGGCTACTGTTTGACAGCGATTCGCCATGCTCGTGTTCATTCAGTGCAAGCTGTATGAGTGTTGTACCCTCTATTCGGAGAAAGAGAACGAGTGCAGACCACACACCACAGGTGATGATGGCCAAGAAAAGAAAAAAAAGAAAGCCACTTGTCTCTGGCCTTCGTCTATTGCGGTGTGTGGGCTGCACTCGACGCCCTTTTCGTTTGCCGAAACAGAGGGTATCTTTGAACTAAATATTGTAATAAGTACGTGCCAGTCGATCGACTAGTCGACGCGCAAAGCCATACAATCGTTGCGAAGGGCGCGCTCCTTCCAGTGAAGCCTCTTGTCTGCCAGTGGCATACCGATTCGAGTTGAGGTGGCTTTTTTTGAGATCGAGGATTATATGATGTTGGGATTCTTTTGTTTAGCTAAGCTTCTGTTTTTTGTTTTCTTATTAACACCTTGACGACAGCGCGGCAACTAGGTTTGCCGCGTTTTGCACGCCGCAATGGACATTGTGGCAACTATAGTTGCCACACCCTTTACATTCAGTTTTTTCTTGAACGCGCCATTTCTTCCCAGGTTTTTTGTGTTCATTTTTTAGGCCATACCACAACATAACCAAGAACCACGCGGCTTATAGAATGACCAAATATTCTTTAGTTTGGCAGAGGTTTTTCGGACCGGACGAAAATATCCGTTCAGTTCATTCCTCATTTTCTCTTCATTAACACGAACATGTAGATAAAAAAGAATATTAGAAGTGAGTACAAAGCTACTCGTGTGGCAAGATATGTGTTTTTACCGAAACAACCACGTCCAAAATAATTTTGAAATCACTAAAGCAAAAGTAAGTGAAACTTGCCTTTTCAATGCTGTAACACATCATTCGACCGCACTTTCACATGTGTACCTTCCAATAAGTTTGACACACCGAATATCAGTGAAAACATTTTGTCGCATCGAAGTATTGCGTATTTAAAGCTCAAAATCCACAGATTTGTTGTGAGGCGGCGGCGCTCGCAGAACCGCTCTGGTCCCACGCGGCCAAAAATGCCAAAACGCGCGATGTCGTCAACGTGTTAATGCTTTCGACAGACACAAGCTGTTACGGTTGGATTAAAAACCTGTGTCATTCTGCTGTTTACTGGTATGCTTTTTGCAATCCGAATCGATTTCATTGGGCTGCTTTCACTTTGGAACGCCCCATCAGGTGTTATCATGCGAAAATTCGGTAGGCTATCGACTTCGCATACACATTTTCAATATTCACTCTTCACATGGTGTGCTGATGTGGCGATCGATCGTTCGAAGTGGTCTTACAAGTAGTTGAAGTCAACTTTGTGCTTATGAGATACCGTGCCTATACCATGGTGGCATTGGGGAATGACTAGACTAGTCAACCGTGAAGCTTAAGAGTGTGCTGTTCCTGTTGAGATGCAGTTGTATAGTTGTATTCTAATTTTATTTTACGTGGCAGATAGTAAATAAAAGCTTTCACCTTTTTGTATAGTTTATTCTAGGGGTTGTCATCGTGTTGCATTTTTGGTACATCTTAGGGACAATCGCGATATCAGATGATCAGATGTCTAGAGAGAGAAAGACGGGTAGTGGAGAAGAGGAAGAGTGTTTACGTGCACGGTAGGGGCACTTTCAGGTACTCACCAGATAAAC